AATCTAGAATATTCTGGCAGTCTTTATTAAAAACTAAATTTAGAATTGTCTAGCAAAGTAATATGATCTATTTGTCCAAACATTATAGATTTTTTAAATTTCCCTAATGTATTAAATTAAGATACAAAGCTTATTCCCAAAATACATTTTATAGAGGTGTGCTTTCATTTTTTGAAGCAATATTCTTGCTAACATCAGCTCCATATGCTCAGAGATGAATGAATCCAGTAAATGGACCATGAAAACTGTTTGAGGCTGCTGATAAATGCTTCAATAGGAATCTGATAAACACAGATTTCATTGTCATATTCAATGAAACTGTACTCTTACTTAAAACTAGATAGAGTAATGGACTGTTGGCTCCTTATGCCAAAAATACACGGATCTGTTATACAATAGCTTCATTCTCTGCCTTTCATAACTTGAGAGCCTTCTGTAGATTCTGTACATCAGTGCTTGTATCTTTATACTGCAAAGCACTGCCGGCATATTTGCAGTATTTCTGAACTCTAACAGAAATACTGGGGTCAGATTTCTATCTCCTTGGGAAACTACTGAAAAGTGCTAGATCGGTGGAGTAAGTTGGATAGCATTACTTGTCACATTTGTGCTGTGAGACATTTCTGCTTGTGTATTAGCTGGCGCATATGCACCAAGAGGAATCTATATTCCAGTATAGTTGTGTGATGGCATGTTGTTTGGGTCATAAGTTGAAGATGATGGCTGAGATGACTGAGTAAGCAGAGAGGTTTCTCCAGAATCTTCATTTTCTTCAACGTCATTATCTTCTTCAATTCCAACAGGCCCTACCATTAAGTCTCCCACTCTTTTTTTAAATTTTTAATTTTAAAGATGTGGGGTACAATTCAGGGTTAAGTATACAAACGTTCATTATGCCGTTACCCTTGTTCATGAGGTATGCCTCCCCCCTCCCCTGGCAGAATCCCACTGTAGCCAATCCTGCTCTCTGCCCTGGCAATTTTCCACTACTGGCAATCCTTATCTTATAGTATTGCAATAATTGTTCAGGATCCACTTATGAGTGAGAACATGTGATACTCAGTTCTTTGTTTCTGTGATAGATCACTCAGTATTATAGACTCTAAGTTCATCTAAGTTGCTGTGAAGTTAATAATTTTGTCCTTTTTATGGCTGCATAATATTCTATCGTGTGTATGTACCACATTTTATTTGATTATTTTTTAAAATTGGGGTACAAATGAGCGTTAGGTACATACATGGTCATCATACAGGTAAAGTGTGGGTACCCTTATTGATGTTATGTGCCCCTCATCCCCAAATGCCACATTTTTTTTTACCCAGTCCTCTTTTGATGGGCAGCACGGTTGGTTCCATGTTTTTGCTATTGTGAACAATTCTGCAATAAACATGCTTGTGCAGGTATCTTTTTCATAGAGTTCCTCTGGGTATATTCCCAATAGGGGGATTGCGGGATCATATGGAAAGTCGATTTTTAGACCTTTTAGGAATCACCAAACTGTTTTCCACAGAGGTAATACTACTTTAAACTTCCACCAACAGTGTAGAAGTGTTCCCTTTTTGCTGCATCCTCTCCAGTTTCTGTTGTTATTGAGTTATTGATGATAGCCATCCTGGCTGGAGTTAGGTGGTATCTCCATGTGGTTTTAATTGGCATTTCTTTGATGATTAGTGAGGCTGAGGATTTTTTCATGTATCTGTTGTCTGCTTGTATGTCTTCTTTTGAGAACTGTCTATTCATATCTTTTTCCTACTTTGTAATGGGGCTGTTTGTTTTTTTTCCTTTTCAGCATGTTTGAGTTCTTTGTAGATCCTAGGTGTTAGGCCTTTGTCAGATATACAGTTGGTAAATATTTTTCCCAGTCCATGGGCTGTCTCCCTGCTCCCTTGATATTTTCTTTGACTTTGCAGAGCTTGTCAGTTTGATGAGGTCCCACTTGTCTATCTTATCTCTTATGGCATGGGCACTTGGAGTTTTGATCAGGAATTGGTTGCCCGTTCCAATTTCCTTAAGGGTGTCTCCTGCATTTTATTTTCTTTTTAACTAGTAAATTTTTTATTTTAAAGATGTGGGGTACAATTCAGGGTTAGGTATACAAATATTCATTATGCAGGTACCTGTGTTGATGAGGTGTACCCCCCCTTCTTCAGGCAGATACCCACTACTGTCAATTCCACTTCCCCACCCTCCCATCCCCTCAGTTTTCCGCTACTATCAATCCTTTTCTTATAGTATTATGATAGTTGTTCAAGGTCCACTTTATGAGTGAGAACATATGATACTCAGTTCTTTGTTTCTGTGAAAGATCACTCAGTATTATAGACTTTTAAGTCCATCCAGGTTGCTGCAAAGTTCATGATTTTGTTCTTCTTTATGACTGTGTAATATTCATTGTGTATATGTACCACATTTTTTCCTCCAGTCCTTTTTTTAATGGGCAGCATGGTTGGTTCCATGTTCTTGCTATTGTGAACAATGCTGCGATAAACATACGTGTGCAGGTATCTTTTTTACAGAGTGATTTGAGTTCTTCCCGGTATATTCCCAGTAGGAGGATTGCGGGGTCATATGGAAGGTTGGTTTTTAGACCTTTTAGGAATCACCAAACTGTTTTTCACAGAGGTGATACTAGTTTACACTCCCACCAACAGTGTAGAAGTGTTCCCTTTTCACTACATCCTCTCCAGTATCTGTTATTTTTTGAGTTATTGATGACGGCCATCCTGATTGGAGTTAGGTGGTATCTCGGTGTAGTTTTGACTTGCATTTCTTTAATGACTAGTGAGGCTAAGGATTTTTTCATGTATCTGTTGGCTGCTTGTATGTCTTCTTTTGAGAACTGTCTATTCATATCTTTTGTCCACTTTGTAATGGGGCTGTTTGTTTTTTTTTTCTTTTGGCGCATTTGAGTTCTTTGTGGGTCCTAGATGTTAGGCCTTTATCAGACATACAGTTGGCAAATGTTTTTTCCCAGTCTGTGGGCTGTCTCCCTTGATGGTTTCTTTTGCTTTGCAGAAACTTTTCAGTTTGATGAGGTCCCAATTGTCTATCTTATCTCTTATGGCTTGGGCACTTGGGGCTTTGATCAGGAATTGGTTGCCAGTTCCAATTTCCATAAGGGTGTCTTCTGCATTTTCTAAGGTTCTTATAGTTTGAGGTTTTACGTTTAGGTCTTTGATCCATTTAGAGTTGACTTTTGTGTATAGTGATAGGTAGGGGTCTTGTTTTAATCTTCTACATGTGGTCAGCCAGTTTTCCCAGCACCATTTACTAGATAGTGCCTAGTGGATGGATGGTGGTGGAGGTTTTGTCAAAGATGAGTTGGTTGAGAAATTGAGGTTTTGCTTCTGAATTCTCTATCCTGTTCCATTGGTCTATATGCCTCTTCTTATACCAATACCCGGCTGTTTTGATTATTGTAGCTTTATAATAAAGTTTAAAGTCTGAGAGTGTGATACCTCCCACTTTTTTTTCCTGAGGATTGTTTTGTCTATGTGTGGTCATTTTTGTTTCCATATGAATTCCTGTATTGTCATTTCCAGGTCTGAGAAGAATGCTGCCGGTAAGAGTCTCCCATTCTTTAAATGAATATAAATGTATGTTGCCTTCTACCTTTCATACAGCTTGTGTTTCATATCTTCATTAATGAGTTCTCCAAATATTGCTATGACATCTATTAAAAGAGTTGTAGAATGGAAGGTCTTGATCATATTTTTGTGAAATAGCGCAGCACAATCTTTGTTCTCTGAATACGAAAGCATTTTCAAAGCATAATTATCCAAAAGGGAACAATTATTTTTAAAGTAGCAGCTTCATTTTCATTTAATTGCTTCTTAATATCTTCTAACTGACCCATTCATTCGCTTTTATAAAAATTTGCAACATTCAGAAGTTTAACTGTCAATCTTCATTCTAGTTAGCATTGCCTGTAAATAACAGTAACAAGCCACCACAGGATCCTGCTTGTTATATTATTGAGTCATCTTCAGATGATACTATATGCTCTTAAACTGTGGGGGCAGCTGGGTCAGCAGAATAAGCATGGCCAACTCTACTCCAAGAATCACCACTTCCTACTCGCCAAATATTTTTTGAGTGAGGTTGAATATCTTTTCCCTTGTTTAAAAGAATCAGTATTTGTTTTGCCGGGTTTTCTTTTGTTGTTTTGTTTATTTTCTTATCTATTTGCTGGAGTTGTTTATATATGATTGAAATTGACCTATGAATTACAAACTTTTTTCCCAGTTTCTAAATTGTCCTTAGACTTTTACACTAAGAATTTTTACAATAAGAATTTTTTGTTGTTTTATGTATACAAGTGTATCAACTTTTTCTTTTATGGTTTCTGGTGTATGTTTCATAGTCAAAACGGCCTCTTGCCTCCAAAATTATAAAATAATTGTCCCGTATCTTTTCTAGTACCCTTTACATTTAGATCTTTGATAAATTTAGAATTATAGTATATAGTGTTGATAGATCCAACTTTTTTCAGATGGTTACTTGATTGTCTTAACACAATTTAATAAATAATCTACTTTTATCATATGTAAATTCCCAATTTCATGGAACTGTGTATACCTGTTATTGCACTTCATAGTTGACTGGTGGTATAATTTTTACAATATATATGTATCCTTTAAAAGTAAACATACATCCTTTTTATTTCTTCATTAGTTCCCAAAGTGTGGCATACTTTATAAACTCTCAGTTAAATTAAACATTTGTCCTTAATTTCAGCTATGTGAAAGCCATGATGAGGGTAAAAAAAAAAAATGCATTTGTCACAAGCACAACTGAAGCTAAGACTTATTCTTGTCTAGGTATTGGCTTTCAGGGCTGACTGTTAATCATATTTTTATAAGGATTCTCAGTAAATTTTATTGGTTTCCTAATGAGGGAGACCTATCAAAAACAGGTACATCCATAATAACGCTGAAATAAAAGATTGTTGCCAGAGCCTCTACTTATAGTTGATGTAGTCCTGTCTTTAAAATTCCAGAGGACCTGACTGGGACACTGAATTGTATGATGAAGGGGGTTCTACTGTCAGAGAGCTTCTTACTGAACTATATGGCAAAGTTGGAGAAATTCGTCACTGGGGCTTGATCAGATACATCTCTGGGATCTTAAGAAAGAAAGTGGAAGCACTCGATGAGGTACTATAAATCTTCTTGAATTTACACCAAATCTAAATGGGATACTTTTTAAATACTGGTTTCTGTCACTGTTTTTAAGATAATCACAGCCTCTAATTATTTGAGATGTTATCTTTCCCACATAAAGTTTTTGATATTCAATTAATTTTTGTTTATGAATGACAAATAAGAATTGTAGACTTATAAAGGTATTATAAACTGTAAGAATTCTAGATCTTAAGAATGAATTTACATTAGGCTAAACGTTTCTACCTCTTAAAAAGGGGAACACTTATACAGTGTTGGTAAGAATGTAAATTAGTACAGCATTATGGAAAACAGTATGGAGGTTCCTTTAAAAACTAAAAACTCAGCAATCCCACTGCTGAGTATGTATCCAAAAGAAAGGAAATTGGATATGGAAGAGATGTCTGCTAAGTATGTAACCAAAAGAAAGGAAATTGGCATATGGAAAAGATGTCTGCCCTCTCGTGTTTATTGCAGCACTATTCACAAGTATCCATTAATAGATGAATGGATAAAAAAATAAGGTATATATACACATTGGAATACTATTGGGCCATAAAAAATAACAAAACCCTATCATATATGGCAACATGGATGGAACTGAAGGGCATTATGTTAAGTGAAATAAGCCAGGCCCAGAAAGAAAAATATTGCCTTTCCTCACTCATATATGGAAACTAAAAAAGTAGATGTTATAGAAGTAGAGAGTAGAATGATAGATACCAGAGGCTAGCAAGGGTAGTGAGGAAAGAGTTTGGATAAAGAGGAATTGTTTAATCAGTATAAAAATAAAGTTAGAGAGAAGGAATAATAGCTAGTGTTTAGTAGCACAATAGGGCAAAAATAATTAACAGTAATTTATTGTCTATGTTAGAATAACTAGAAGAATAGATTTGGAATGTTCACAACACAAATAAATGATAAATGTTTGAGGGAATGGATATTCCAATTACTCAAATTTGATCATTATACATTGCATGCTGTTATCAAAATATTACATGTACCTCATAAATATGTACTATTACATATCCATAAAATTTTAAAAATTAGAAACATTTTTAAAAAGGAAGACAAACAAGAGTTCCTCCCACCTAGGCAATGAAAAGACTTCATTCTTCCTTCCTAAAAATCCTTCCTTTCTCACCCCCATGGTATTTCCTGAGGAAGAAAGTTTTGTATGTCATTAAGTTAAAGGGGAGCAAAGGTTTCTAGGCTGAGAAGAGAACTGTTCATGGAAATCTGAGGTATTATGGAAAGGATTATGTTATGCTCTCTCTTCTTAGGCCTGCACAGACCTTCTCTCCCATCAGAAACATTTAACAGTGGGACTCCCTCCAGAACCTCGAGAAAAGTCTATCTCTGCGTGAGTATGGTTAGGTTTGATCAAGCTTCTGAGTATTTAAGGAGCTATGTGAACTTAGCACAATTCTCTTGCTCTGACCTGTTGATTGATGACAATATCCTACATGTGCACACTTCCACCACAGACACTTAGTGGGAGAATGTTGGTAATGACCAGGCATTAATAAATTAAAAGATAGAAAACTCACAAGGAATAGTCCTCAAACTTTTTTTACTTCTTAGATTTTTTCAAGCCTCCCATCCAAAAAATAAAACAAACAGGGTGCCTGGAATTATCACTCACAAAATGTCAGCCATACTCTGAAAAAAAAAGGAGGTAGAAGAAAGTGGCTGGAGGAGCACAGGACTGATGATGAAACTATACTGCTCAAGAAGGAATAGAGGGAATGGAGGTCATAGTCAAAGGGGAAAAATGGGTATTTGCAGAACATAGTGAGGTTGGACCCCTACAGGAACACTGAAATCAGAGTGCCACTGCCGGGCTCGGTGGCTCAACCTGTAATCCCGTGCCTTTGGGAGGCTGAGGTGAGTGGATTGCCTGAGCCTGCGGGTTCGAGACCCGCCTGGGTAGCAAGACCTCATCTCTACAATAAATCAAAAAATCAGCCGGGCATGGTAGCACATGCCTGTAATTCTGGCTACTCAGAAGGCTGAGGCGGAAGTATCGCTGGAGACCAGCAGGCGAGGCTGCGGTGGCCGGGAGCGGCCACTGCACTCCAGTCTGGGCGACAGAGTGAGACTCCAACTCAAAAAAAAAAAAAAAAAAGAAAAGAAATCAGAGTGCCACTGTCTCAGGTCTCCCACAGTTTCCAATTAGAAAGAGTGCTCTAGGGTAGGCTTGGGCTGGAAGGAGAGGATAGTCAAGTGACAGACTGGGATGGAAGATTTAATTCGTATATGAGTCTTCCTTTTGCCACCAGTCATACCAATAAAATTAATCAGCAGTAAATCTGTTTAATTTCATGTTATGCCGGTGCCAAAATTTAAATCTGCAAACAGGCTGTGCTTCCAAGAAATATTTTTAGAGGGATTCTAACTTCACAGGTGATCTGAAAAATCTTTTTTCCCACTAAAGAGTAATTTAAAACAAGGTATTCTTCCTGCCTGCCAGTTCTACTTCTGTAACCAGTATAACAAAATGTTTATTTAAATAAAACCTGCTCTAGATATAGAGTGTAATCAGGAAGAAATGAGAGAGAAGTAAGCAGGGATACTTTGCTGATGTCTACATGCCACCTCTTTCCTGATTATGTCCATGATTTGTTACCTCTAAGATTTAGCTCAAACTCCTATATGAAAGCCCATATACATTTCCTAAGACCATGTATCATAAGTTCCATGTGTAAAGTCTCAGTTATGCTTTCAGAAAAATTGCCCTAACTTGGTATGTTACTTTTCTCAGGCTGTTGTAACAAAGTACCACAGACTGGTTGGCTTAAGCAACAGAAATGTATTCTCTCGTGGTTCTGGAGGCTAGAAGTCCAAATCAGGGTGTCTACAGGGATAGTTCCTTCTGAAATCTGCGAAGGACTTTGTTCCAGGCCTCTCTTCTTGGCTTGTAGATGGCTGTGTTTTCCCTGTTTCTTCATGTTTCTTCCTTCTATGCATGTCTCTGTGTCCAAATGTCCCTTTATAAGGACATCTGTCATAAAGGATTAAGGTCCACTCTAATGGCTTCACTTTAGTTTAATTATCTCCATTACCTCCATAAAGACCCTATTTCCAAATAAGGTCATACTCTGAGGCACTATGGATTAGGATTTCAATATAAGAATTGGGTCGGGGGGGGACACAATTCAACCTATAAAACCTTGCTTTTGGCAAACAGAACATTTTATCACTAAACAGATCAGTTTTGTGACATTGTAGACAATCCAAAATATGGCATGGTCCCTGCACCCAGAGTGCTTTTTGTCAACATGAGAGACAGAAGTGTGGAAAGATGTGTGCATACCTATGTGTATATGAGCAAGAAAGTGTGTATATCAGTGTATGTGTGTGAACTGATTACATATTTGGAGTCGATCATACTCGGTGATTTATCACAGAAACAAAGAACAGAGTTCTATATGTTCTCACTCATAAGAGGACCTTGAATAATGATAATGCTATAAGAAAGTGATTGGCAGTAATGGGAAACTGTCAGTGGTGGGGGTTGCAGTTGAGGGAAACTGCTAGGGGAGGGAGGGGCATACTCACCAACAGGGGTACCTGCATGATCAATGTTTGTATACCTAACCCTGAATTGTACCCCACATCTTTATAATAAAAATTTAAATATATATATTTAAACTCAATATAATTAATAAAAAGGCACGGCTTTTTTTTTTTCCAAATTCAGGGTGTACGTGTGCAGGTTTGTTACATGGGTATATTTGCATGATGGTGAGGTTTGGGCTTCTATTAAACCCATCACCCAAATAGTGAACATGGAACCTAGTAGGTAGTTTTTCAACTCTTACCTTCTCTCTACCCCTTTTAGGCATCCCCAGTGTCCATTGTTTTCATCTTTATGTCTGTGTATACCCAGTGGTTAGCTCCCACTTATAAGTAAGAACATGCAGTATTTTGTTTTCTGTTGTTGTGTTAAGTTGCTTAGAATAGTGACCTCCAGCTGCATCCATGTCCCTGAAAAGGACATGATTTTATTATTTTGTATGGCTATACAGTAATGCATAGTAATGTGTATATGTACTATGTTTTCTTTATCCAATCCACTGTTGATGAGCAGCTAGGTTGGTTCCATGTCTTTGCTGTTGTGAGTAGTACCGCAAAAAACATACAAGTACAGGTGTCTTTTCGGTAAAACCAGGTATGTTTGTTTGGGTATATAACCAGTAATGGTATTTCTGGGTCAGTTGGTAATTCTATTTTTAGTTCTCTGAGAAATCTTCAGGCTGCTTTCCAAAGAGTCATAACTAGTTTACATTCATATCAGCAGAGTATGAGCATTCTCTTTTCTCTGCAACCTTGCCAACATCTGTTGGTTTTTGGCTTTTTAACAGTAACCATTCTGACTGGTGTGAGATGGTATCTCACGGTGGTTTTGGCTTATATTTCTCTGATGATTAGTGGAATTGAATATTTTTTCATACTTTTTGGCAATTTGTATATCTTCTTTTGAGAAGTGTCTGTTCATGTCCTTTGCATGTCTATTTGTTTAAGTTCCTTATAGGCTCTGGATATTAGTTCTTTGCAAACTAGATGCATAGTTTGCAAATATTTTCTCCCATTCTGTGAGCTGTCTATTTACTCTGTTGATAGTTTCCTTCACTGTGCAGAAACTCTTTAGTTTAATTAGGTTCCATTTGTCACTGTTTGTTTTTATTGTGTTTGCTTTCGAGCACTTAGTCATATATTAATTGCCAAGGCCAATGTTCAGAAGAGTGTTTCCTAGGTTTCCATCTAGGATTTTCATAGTTTGAGGTCTTACTCTTATGGCTTTAATTCATCATAAGTTAATTTTTGTATATGATAAGAGATAGAAGTCCAGTTCCATTCTTCTACATATTGCTAACCATTTTCCCATCACCATTTACTTAATAGGATGTACTTTCACCGTTGTTTATTTTTATCATCTTTATTAAAGATTAGTTGGTAATCCCAGTACTTTGGGAGGCAGAGACAGGAGGATTGCCTGAGCTCAGGTGTTCAAGACCAGCCTGGGTAACTTGGCAAGACCTCATCTCTATAATAAATCAGAAAATTAGCTGGACGTGGTGGCACATGTCTGTGGTTCCAGTTACTTGGAAGGCTGAGGCACAAGGATCACCTGAGCCCAGCAGATTGAGGCTGCGGTGGCCGTGAGCATGCCACTGCACTCCAGCCTGGGTTACAATGAGACTGACTTAAAAAAAAAGAAAAAGAAAAAGAAAAAAAAAGATCAGTTAGTTGTGGGTGAGTGGTTTTATTTCTGGGATCTTTATTCTGTTCCATTGGTCTGTGTGTCTATTTGTGTACTAGTGCCATGCTATTTTGGTTAGTCGTCTTGTAATAAAGTTTGAAAGTGATTAATGTGATGCTTCCAGCTTTGTCTTTTGTGCTTAGGATAGCTTTAGCTTTTTATTATATTGATTCTTGCAATCCATGCACATGAAATGTCTTTCCATTTATTTGTGTCATCTGTAATTTATTTCAGCATTGTTTTGTAGTTCTCCTTGTAGATCTTTCACCTCTATGATTAGAAGTATTCTCGGGTATTTTTTTCTGTATGGCTATTGTAAATGTGATTGCATTCTTAATTTTGTTCTTAGCCTGAATGTTG